AGTAAAACAGATCACTGGGGTGGTCCTAAATTTTAAAAGAGTCGTTTCCAGATTAATATAATTATAGACAGTATAACTCTAAGAACCAATATCAACGTACATACTAAAGTACATACATACGCTAGAAGGTACAAACTGGCGTGAAGTGGCAAAGGGAATTTAATAAAAGCAGTTTTAAAGTTGGCTTGGAAGGAAGAGTGGGTCTGACTTCTACTTTTTTTTTTTATTTTTTTTGAAAAAGTCGTCCTCTGTTGCCCTGCTAGAGTGAGCTGTGCGTCACCTAGCTCACGCAGCCTCAAACCCTGGGCTCAAGCAACACCTCTTCCAAAACCTCACCTGAGTACGCTGGACTCACAGGCATCACCACCGCATGCCGGGCAACTTTCATATGGTTTTAGTTGCCAATTAATTTCTTTCTATTTAGTAGAGACCGGTCGTCTTGTCAGGCTGGGTTGACTCCTGACCTTCGAGCATTCCACCTTCCACAAAGCCTCCCAGAAGTCAAGAATTATAGGCGTGAGCCCCACGCCCAGCGCGACTCTTAAGTTTATATAATTCTTTTTCTAATTAAAATTGGTTTTCTCACTTGAGACTAGTAAGACACTTTGTCAACTAAAGTGAGAACCTGTCTCAAAAAAAAAAAGTAGTATCTATTATATCTGCCAATTAAAAGTAACAGCTGGCTGTGCAGTGGTCACGCCTGTATCCTAGCAAATCTGGAGGCGAGTGAGCGGTCTTGCATCACAGAGTTAACACCAGCCTGACAAGCAGCAAAGCCTCATCTCTCCCAAAAATAAAAAAAAAATCCCAGCAATGTGGACTGCCTGTAAATCCCAGTACTCGGGAGCTGAAGGCAGAAGAATCGCTTGAAGCCAGGAGTTGATCTTGAGCCTGACTTATACGCATGGCACTCCTAGCACCAGGCAACAAAGTAGAGCTCTTCTCAAAAAAAGAGAAGCACACAAACGGATCAGCAGATGAGACTGGAAATAAATATGAGTACAGCAGGTCTCTTAATGGAGGACAAGATTCTTGAACTGGAGGGTTACATCAGATTAAGTCAATATCTATTAGATAAGAAAATTGTTACAATTTCAAGACTGATATTACATTCAAAGTCAAAGACAACACACTCATTGCCCACAATTTATACTGGACAAACACATGCACTCAGGAAACACAAGTGAGGACTAAAACATCAAAATACAATGCCCAGGTAAAAACTGTTTTATGTTCTATCCACATTTCACATAATACGGCATTCCATCTTTAAAAAAAATGTCAAATGCCACTTCGCTGTGCTCACGCCTGTATTCTAGCTTTGGGAGCCGAGGCGGCGATTGCTCAAGGGTCACGAGTTCAAAAACCAGCCTGACAAGAGCGACGACGTCTCTACTAATCAATAGAAGAATTAATTGGCCACTGATATACTATATGAAAATTGCTGGGCATGGGGCGCATGCCTTAGCCCAGCTACTCGGGAGGCTGAGGCAAAGCGATCATCAAAGCCAGATTAGTTCTGTACTAGGCTGACGCCACGGCACTCACTCTAGCGGCAGACAGAAGGAGACTTGTCCAAAAAAAAAAAAAAAAAAAAAATGCCAGCACTCGACCC